TGACCTCCGGCTCCGCTAATCTGGCGGTCCTACTCTTCCTGTCTGGAAGAGTAGGATCGTGAGCCTCTGGGCCAATCCCAGGATTGCCCTGCCCGAAAGGGCTGTCTCCACTCCCAGGTACCACTGGGATGAAATGGTGGCCTGCGGTAGTCCTGTTGAGGCAGTCTATCTGATTTTTTGGAGGGATGGGCCATCACTTTTTGCTTGTCCTTGCCTTCAATGATATGAGGCTCTAGGACTGGGCCGAAGAGGTGGGTGCCACTGTATTTGGATGTTGCTAGGCGCCACTTTGCCTTTAAGTCAGTGCGCCATTGCTTCAACCAGAGCAACCTATGGGACGCCACTGAGGCAGCAATAGATCTGGCCAAACATCTGGCCGAGTGTAAGGATGCATCTGCAATGTACTCGGATGCTGCAACAATCTTGCCTATTGATTGGTGCGCCCTGACCTGATCCGGCGGAATGAGCGACTGGAGCTCCTGCAGCCACATTATCGCTGAACGTGCAAAGAAGGAGGATGAAGTTGCCGACCTTATGGCCCAAGCCGAAGATTGATGAGCTCTGCGAAGAGAGAACTCGAACTTTTTGTCCTCCACCTTCAAGAATTCAGCCATGTCCCCAGGAATGGCGGTATTGGAGAACAGAGATGTCAGGGGAGTGTCCACAGTTGGAACTTCTAGGAGAGAAGCAAAGGAAGAAGCGACATTATAAAGTTTCCTGTCCAAACTGCTCGGGAAAGGAGTGGTAGCAAGGGATGACCACTGCTTTTCCAACGTAGTCCTGAAGACTAATGGACACAGAATCTGTGGGTCTTCCTTGACTTTTTCCGCAAACAGGGGGTTGGCCTCCTGATTAGTGAAGGTAGAGATGGTGACTCCTCCTGGGCCGAGGTAAGTTTTACCGTGGCAATGGCCTTTAGGAGGAGAGACCGAAAAATGGCCGGATCAAAGAGACCCGAAGATGTCACCTGCTCAGGAGTTGGGTCCTCATCCTCAGACAAGGGAGTGTCTGCTACTCCCAGTTCCATTGATCCCTCCTCTCCTAATTGCGAGGATGTCTCTGAGACATCAGAGCTGGGCCTAGTGTCTCGTTCCACCTGAGGTGGGGGAATGGATGTGGGAGAAGGATGTGACTGTAACTGGCTACTCCCAGTGGATGACATAAACTGCTTGAATGCGTGGTGCATGAAAGCCTGGAATTGACTCTGGGACCACATTTCCCCTTGGTCCTTGGAGCTGGCCCCAACCTCCGTTGAGGCACGCCTGCTCTCAGGTGTTTGATGTGACGATGAGGAAGAGGAGTAAGGAAGACCAACCTGCTCAGTTTCCCCCTGAGGAGACCAAGACCTTGGGGCATCCTGTGAGGATTGAAATTGGGGCTCTGACGAAGGGATGTCCAGTGGGGCGGGGAAAACCAATTCAGCCCCACTGGACCTGAGCCTTTGTGCCTTGGAGAATTCTCTCTCCAGTGCTAAGTGTCTCCTTGAGGCCTCTCGCTAGGTTGTTTTGGAGGTTTCTTTTGTGGACAAATGTTTGGTTTTAGCTTTCTTCTTCCCCCACACTTCCAATTCCTCTGATCTGCACTTTGTTTGTGCGGGGGGGACACTGGTCTGAGTTGCCTGGGGCGAGGAGCTGGACAGTTGTACCTAGAAATGGGGGGAACCCAACACGCAGATCAAACAGTCAGAGATGGAAAACCGATCCTCGCTCTGAACAAATAGCAATGGCAAGAGCAGCCAGACAGTGTTCTAATACTGCCTGCACAGGCCCTGTGACTAAAGGTCACTGACTGACTGAGAAACAGGTGGTCAAGAAAAATATCTCTTCGCTCTTCTTTCCTAGGTCTTAAGACCAGATATCAATACCTTGGCCTGCTTAAATGCAGACAAGGCCCACACCTGGGGTAGCCCCCACAAGTTTCACCGCAGCCACTGTGGGTATAAAGAAATATTTTCCCCCCTGAATGGGTCTGCTCACAGACCAAGGCACTCAGGCAACAACTATGAATCTGCAATAATGCAGGTAATAACTGCTGATGATGCTGTAATAATTCAAGTAGGCCTCCAAAATGGCGTCCGCCACGTGGGCCGTTCAGAATAGCAGCCGCGCTAAGACCATGCGGTCAAAATGGCGGCCGCAAAAACTTTAAGGCCTTCTGAGAAGCAATGAGGGAAAATCTTGGAGTTCTTTAAGGGAGAATCAATTGCCGCAACAGGGAAAACGAAATAGCCTAAATTCCTAATTCCCCCCCAGTCCCCAAGCACTTGCGATTCGTAGCGCAGCCTCCGCTGCGATCCGGATGAGGCTGCAGTCAGGAAAACGCTCCCTCGAAGCCTCGACGTGAACGAAGCGCTCCGGAGATCTCCACGCCGAAAAGCCGATCTCCGCTGCCCAGCTGATCGGCGGGATTGCGAAAATGGATTCAGATCGTCGGAATGGGAGCTCCCCTCCGAACGAAGCCTGCAGCCTCCCACTTCAGAGCCCCAAAAGGCTGCAGAAGAGCAAGGACAGAGTCCTTATCCTCCCCAACACAATCTCAATCGATTTTTGAATTTGCAAAGTAAAAGCCGAATTAGTCCAATTGATTGATCAAATTTAAATATAAATCTAGCCAATCTTGATCTGATTAAATCCAAAAAAGAACAAAAAAGGAATCTAGCCTAGCTAGGGAGCCTTCAATAAAGCATCTTGCTGAGCTCGAGACTAAGACAAAACTGGGGAAGGCACACCCAGAAGGAGGCGTGTCAAAGTTTTTTTGTCTTTGTCTAAGCAGGAAGCTCAGTGGATTCTACACCCATCCTGCTGGAGAACAGTTGGTCCACTAAAGACAGAAAATGACAAGGAAGTAACAGGCAGTAGACAGAAAAGCGAGCTGCTTTACTCCATCTTTGCATCAGTCTTCATGCAAAATGAAATTATACCCCACCTACAAAAAACATAACTGTAAGACAGACTAGAAATAAAAACTAAAATAAGCAAGAAAATGGTAAGAGAACACCTGTGTCATCTTGATAAATATAAATCACTGGGACCTGATGGATTACATCCTAGAGTTCTGAAGGAGCTGGCAGATATTATTTCACAAAAATTGTACCATATATTTAAAATATCCTGGAACACTGGGTAGTGCAAATGGGTGTAGAGCCTTCTTGGAACTGATGAACTCCCTCTCCATTGAGCCCTCAAAATTGAATAGCCCTCTCTCAACAGAGAGGGAGGAAAACCACATCATCTATCTTCAGTCTACAATACAGTCATTTCAGCAGTTCCAAGAGGGCTCCACACCCATTTGCACTACCCAGGTGACCCTGAAGACACAGATAAATCTCCAACTGGCCTCAATGACTCTCTAAAAGAATGCAAATGACCAGCTGTCTGCAAGGAATATAAATCCTTCCATTCCCCACCATCCAGTGAGAGCTGAAGAAGCTTCTTGGACAAGCAAAGCGTCTTCAAAGAAAAACAAGAAAGTCCTGTTGCCTTTTGAACAAGCACCTTTGGAACTACAGACCAATCAGCAAAACATCAATACCTGGGAAGATACTGGATAAAAATAATCAAAAACTAGTAGCCAGCACAGGTTTGTTAAAAAAAGATCATGCCAAACCACTCTTATTTCATTCTTTGACAGAGTGACTAAATTAATAGACCAGCGAAATGTTGTGGATATAGCATACTTAGACTTCAGCAAGGCATTCAACAAAGTAGACCACAATCTACTTTTTGGTAAACTAGAAAACTAGCACAGGGATATCCTCAATGAAAATCTGTTTCACAGCACTCAGGACCTAAGACTGGGCTGATGATTCACTTTCCAACATTACACCGATCCTAAGCACACAGCCAAAACAACACAGGAGTGGCATAGGAACAACTCTGTGAATCTCCCTTACTTGAACCCTATTGAATATCTCTGGAGGGACCTGGCAATGGCTGTCTACTGATGGTCACCTAAGCTTGAAAGAATTTGCAAGGAAGAATGGCAGAAAGTCCCCCAGGTGTGTAAAGCTTGCCACGCCATATCCCAAAAAAACTTGACACTGTCATTGCTGCCAAAGGTGCTTCAACAAGACACTGAATGAAAAGTACGAATATTTATGTCAATGTGATATTTCAGTTTTAAAATAAATTTACAGACATTTCTAAAATTCTGTTTTCACTGGGTCCTCATGGGGGTACTGACTGTAGACTAATGAAAAAAAGTGAATTTCAACAACTAGAATCAGGCTGCAGCATAACAAATTTGACAAAAGTGAAAACTTTCTGAATGCACTGCATATGTGTGCCTATTGACACAGAAATCCACACCTAAGAATTCATTTATGCAAACAATTATGTGTATTTCAGTGTGCAAAATGCCCCCAAAGTGCATTTTGCCCATGAAACTCCTCGCTTGTCAAGAATACAACCTGTCAATAAAATCACAACGAATGAAGTGTTACGTAAAGGCTGAGGGAGATGGGCCGTTACAAAATATGAAATAGAAATAAATATATTTTTTAGAAAAACCTCCCAAATCTCCCAGCAGAAAATCACAGGCAGCAGTTTTAAATCGTGCAGCCGCAGAGGAATAAAATTTAGGGAGGGAAGGAACCTGCAGCAGCAGCCGATATCTTTCAGCCTCATCCCTTTGCTGTTTCCACACCGCGGAGGAAACCAAACAGCCCGACTTGCTCCCGGCTTCTCCTCCGACCTGCCCTCCACTCACCTCCCAGGAGCCGCTTCGACCCTCGAAACAGGGGAAGAGGCTGAGGGAGATGGGCCGTTACAAAATATGAAATAGAAATATATTTTTTAAAAAAATCTCCCAAATCTCCCAGCAGAAAATCACAGGCAGCAGTTTTAAATCGTGCAGCCAGAGGAATAAAATTTAGGGAGGGAAGGAACATGCAGCAGCAGCCGATATCTTTCAGCCTCGTCCCGTTGCTGTTTCCAGACCGTGGAGGAAACCAAACAGCCCGACTTGCTCCCGGCTTCTCCTCCGACCTGCCCTCCACTCACCTCCCAGGAGCCGCTTCGACCCTCGAAACAGGGGAAGAGGCTCCGCCGACGCCATCTTCCTCCCGTGGCTGAGCCGGAAAAGGAAGTTCCTTTCTTCTCCGCCTCCTCTCCTCCACATCCTCTCTAGTAATACAATACTCTATCGTTTCAGTTCGTTCCAGCTCAGCCTTTCTCCCTCCGGTACGAAATTAGCACCAACGATGCCGCTGCTGTATTCTCGGCTTCCTAGGCACGCGTGTTCCCGATTTGTAGAGCGCCATCTAGCGACATAAGGCTGAAAATCACGCTCGTCCTATCTCTACCCTCAAGCGTTGGCAAGATGTTTTTATTGATTCCGGGTTTATCTACCATCAAGTCGTATTCCTCTCTCACCGAACGCATCGATAGGTTTTCTCCCTGAGGATCTCTCCCAAACCTTTTCTTTCAGGTCTCCCAAGAGTGCAGACGTTGTCCCTCTTGCTGCAACTAAACCAAAGGAAAGTAGAAATCATGTAAGGGAGAAATGATGGACAACAGCCAACCAGAAGGCGCATTTTCCTTTGGGGCTGGTGACGATGGTTCCAGCCAGTTTTTCATTTCCTTGGGGGGTGCAAGATAACTCCTCGAAACCTGCCTCGGCAAATGATTGAAGCTGTAAGAGTGAAGCTTCACCCTCCTTGGCTTCATAAGCTTAGCAGGTGCTGCGCCCTAAAACTTCCTGAAGTATTTCTGTCTACGTCCATATATACTTGTCAGCTTCATCCTATTCAGGGGTCTTCAAACTTGGCCCTTTTATGACTTGTGGACTTCAACTCCCAGAATTCCTCAGCCAGGCGTGCTGGGAGTTGAAATCCTCAAGTCATAAAAGGGCCAAGTTTGAAGACCCCTGATCCTATTAATAGAATGAATGAAACACGGAAGCAACCGGGAAGCGCCCACTGGCATTGCCTCTGAACCCCATCTAGATAGGAGGTAGATATGATCTTCCTGTCTGTATTATTGGGGAGTTTAAATCTTGCTAGGCAGCGGAATTGCTCAGAGCAGCCCTCCCAATTCCCAGCCTTCCTACCTTTCAGCCTTATTATTCCCAAGCAGCTTGAGCAAAAACACTTGGAGGAAATCAGTTTTCAGGAAGCTGGTCCAAAGATTTCTGCCTTTTTTTGCAAGAGTAGTTTTAGGGGATATTGAAAGCTCTCTAAATGCTACAATTTTATGAATCTTCTTGAGCCAGAGCATACTTCCATATCAATAAAACAATGGCCTCACCAGAGGAAGATTTAAGTTTTGGAATGGCCCAGCTAGAGGCGGGACTTGAATCCAATTGAAAATCTTGGGGTGACCCTCACAACCTGACAGATATGGAGCAATTTGCTAGGAAGAGTGGGCAAACATTCCCAAGGCAAGAATGTGCCAGGCTCCTATCTCAAAAGCCTGCATGCTGTGATAAAAGAATTAATTTAAGGGTGCGCATCTTTATGAAACCATGCTATTGTAAGTTTATTATTGTTATTTTCACTCATAAAATATTTGTTTTTCAATTGAACTGCACAACTTTTAAGTTATATTAAAGGTGAAAAAATTCTGAGGTGATTTGTCTTGGTCTGATTTACTTACATCCCAAAAACCCGGCATTTTACATGAAGTGTGGAGATGTTCTCTATGCTCTGTATATCTGGGGATAAGATGATATACTGCAGATGCAAATTTGTGTACAGAGAGAAATCTACATGCCTACGAATGTAAATATGTAAAATACCCATGTGTATTTTAGCCTGAAAAAATGTCCCCCAATTGTTATTGTCAAACCTTCTGAGGTAATTTTAGAGATGTGGGGGCTTTAACTGATGAAATGATACCTAAAGTCTCTGCAAGATTGAAGCACCAGTTTTGCCCGTGGAAGCCCTCAGCTCCAAATAAGGGCAGAAAATAATATCGACAATCCCTCTGGGGACATTTCCATTCAATGCAGGTGTTGGTCATCACCTTAAAAAGCAATTTATTTTAGCAATAGCTATTAGACTTATATACCACACCTCAGAACTTTAAAGCACTCTGTTTACAATGTCAATATATGGCCCTCCCAATAATGGTCACATGATCAAAATTCGGATGCTTGGCAAGAGGGGGGATTTGCACATGGGTCACTCATGTCTTTCTCACCACCTATTTGGATCACTACACTGGGCCATCCAGAACCTTCAACTGCTCCAGAATGCAGCAGCACAGACAGCAATGAAGGCCCCTGGGTTGGCCATTTAAAATCTCTGTGGTGTGAGATGCAATGGATTCATTTCTTTAAGGTGCAATTCAACATGCTGGTCATCACCTTTAAAGCTACTTCTTTATTATAGCAATAGCACTTAGAATCATATACCACCCCAAAGTGTTTTATAGCCCTCTAGGTTTAGAGAGTCACCATATTGTTCCCAACAATCTGGGTTCTCATTTTACTGAACTCAGAAGGATGGAAGGCTAAGTCAACCGTGAACACCTTCAGGATTGAATTCCAGGCTATAGGCAGAGTCAACTGGCAATACTGCCTTCTAACCACTGAAACCACAGGGCACCTGTCATTATTGCCCCATCTTTATTATTTTTGTATCTATCTGTTCTACCAGGTCAAATAGGGTAGGCACGCTCCTAGCCCCTTTTTTAAAATATTGCCATTGAATAAGAGCTGGGAAGTGAGCCTTTTCCATTGCCCTATGAGACACTCTTCTCCCTGAAGTATGGAAGGCCTTTATCCTCCTAGTCTTCCGTAAACCAAAGCAGATCTAGCCTTTCCCCTAAGCCAGTGATGGTCAACCTTTTAGAGACCTAGTGCCCAAAAACCGCCCCGCCTCCTCATCCACCCCTGCTCTGCACCCAGCCTACCCGCATAGCCACCCACCAGTTCCATAGCCCATCATCTGTGTCTGACAGGGCGCAAGGGCAGAGTCTTGTCCCCGCTGCCTGGCTGCCATGCCCTTGGCTGTGCTGCTCTACGCGGACTGCACTCGGGGGCAAGGCTCCTCCAGGGATCTGCTGCTGAGGAGGGGGCCATGGGGGAGGTGGAGCTGGGGCAACCGTGCACGTGCTGAAAGAGAGGGCTCCGAGTGCCACCTCTAGCATGCGTGCCATAGGTTCTTGCGCCATCATTGCCCTAAGCATTGGGATAAGAAAAGGCGCCTGTACATCAGAAGCTTGAATTGGAACCAGGTTTTTCTTTAATGCATTTGGGTTTAATATGTTTTTTAAGTTATTGATTGGGACCCAGCCAGTTTGTTAATATGGGTGGTTACATAAATATTTTAAATAAATTGGAGGAAAATGAAATGAATCCAAAATGTGGCCCCGCTGAGGCTGCCCATCTGCAACTCGCTTGAGGCAACAAAGTATTTGCATTTCTTTAATTATCAAATTTATAGGCTGCTAATCCTGAGGTTAACTTCTCCAATTTAACTCCTTGCAAGGAGAAAGTTTTCCAGTTTGGACCAAGAATGTCAGGAGGCATGAATGTAGCTAGTAAGACCAGGAGGCCCAGTTAACTTGAACAAAATTCGAACAAAAGCAAGAATTACCTTTTTCGGATGCCCAGACATCAAAATTCAATCAACCATGCTAGAAGAGGCCTGTATTTGCAGCTTAAGTACATGTTAAATGTGGAGGCTTTGCATTTCACTGTTTGCAAGATAGTCGGTTTATTGCTTTCTGTATTAAGGTTTTATTGCTGTAAACCACGTGGAATCACCTTGAATTGGACTGCTATATATATTTAATAAATAAAAATGCATAAAAATATTTATATCCCGCTTTATTATATATACAAGTACTTCAAGTCAGCAAACATACCTAATAGAGCGCTAAGCTCCTTTTCTTTGGCTCAGCACAGCAATTCCCCTCAACTCCGTGAAAGGAAACAACTGCACTGGGCCAGAGAAAGGAAGCTCAGATCTCCTCCCTCATTTTTGATATTAAGACATGTTTGATTAAAAAGAAGAAGGCAAAAAATTAAATGCTTAGCTCAGCTTTCAATGAGTGACGAGAAATGAAGTTCAAGATACCTCTACAGAGATCAAATTTCACCTCGTGTGGAATTTCTTGTGTTTGATAAGGGAGGAATTCCGTGTGAAACATTTTCCGCAATCTGGGCATTTGAATGGTTTCTCCCCTGTGTGTAACCTTACATGATTGATAAGGCTAGGCTTACTACTGAAATCTTTCCCACAATCCGGACACTCATACAGCTTCTCTCCTGTGTGAGTCCTCCGGTGCATCACCAAACTGGAATTCCTTATGAAACTTTTCCCACACTCAAGACACTTATATGGTTTCTCTCCTGTGTGAGTCCTCTGGTGTATCACAAGGTACGAATTCTGAATGAAACTTTTCCCACAAAACAGACACTTATATGGTTTGTCTCTTGTGTGAGCCCTCTGGTGTTTCACCAGGTACGAATTCTGAATGAAACTTTTTCCACAAAACAGACACTCATATGGTTTTTCTCCTGTGTGAGTTCTCTGGTGTTTCACCAGGTAGGAATTTTGACTGAAATTTTCCCCACAATCTGAACACTGATATGGTTTTTCTCCTGTGTGAGTTCTCTGGTGTATCACCAGATGGCCATACTGACTGAAACATTTGCTACAATCTGGACACTCATATGGTTTTTCTCCTGTGTGGGTCCTCTGGTGTATCACCAGATTGCCATACTTACTGAAACGTTTGCCACAATCTGGACACTCATATGGTTTTTCTCCTGTGTGGGTCCTCCGGTGTATCACTAGATTGCCACACTGACTGAAACTTTTCCCACAATCCGGACACTCATACAGTTTCACTCCTGTGTGAGTCTTCTGGTGTCTCACCAGGTAGGAATTCTGACTGAAACTTTTGCCACAATCTGGACACTCATATGGTTTTTCTCCTGTGTGGGTCCTCTGGTGTATCACCAGGTTGGAATTCTTAATGAAACGCTTCCCACAGTACAGACACTCATATGGTTTCTCTCCTGTGTGAATACTCTGATGGTTCACCAGGTTAGCATTCTGCTGGAAACTTTTCCCACAAATTGGACATTCATATGGTTTTTCTCCAGTGTGAGATCTCTGGTGTATCACCAAGTTGGAATTCTTACTGAAACGTTTCCCACAATCTGGACACTGATATGGTTTCTCTCCCGTGTGAGTCCTCTGGTGTATCACCAGGGAAGAATCCCATTTGTAACTTTTCCCACAATCTGAACATTCATATGGTTTTTCTCCTCTGTGAGTTCTTTGGTGTCTCACTAGATTGCCATTCTGACTGAAACATTTCCCACAATCCGGACACTCATATGGTTTCACTCCTGTGTGAGTCCTCTGGTGTATGATCAGGTTGGAATTATTACTGAAGCCTTTGCCACAATCAAGACATTCAAAGAGTTTCTCCTCAGTGTGAGTCGTCATATCTCTCATCAAATTGGAATTCTAGCTGAAACTTTTCCTACAATCAAGACACTCATATAGTTTTTCTCCTGTGTGACTTTGGTGTATCACCAGCTTGGAATTCTAAGTGAAACTTTTCCCAAAGTCTGGACACTTATGGTTTCTTTCCACTGTGAGTCCTGTGTATCACCAGATTTGTGTGCAGGCTAAATCTTTTGTCGTATTGGAAGCAGTGGTAGAGCTTCTCTCCAGAATAGGTCCTTCCATGAATCATGAAAAAGTTGTTCTGAGTAAAGTTTTGCCGCTCTCCAAACATTCCTATGACTTTTCATAGGGTGGATCCTCTCGCGCATATTCAGCCGTGATCTGCAATCTGTATTTTTCCCACAATAGGCACTCTGTGGGGTTTTCCCAACTCTGATAATCTTGGATTCTTGAGGAGGCCAAAAATATTTCTGATCTCTTTCTTTGGAGGTTCTTTGATTCAAACCGTTCTTTCCTTCCTCAAAGGCTTTAATTAATACTTGCCCATTTTGGATATCCAAGGTATCTTTTCCTTCCCACTGACTTCCAGCTATTTCCCATTTTTCTTTCTTTATTTGAAAACTGAGCTCATTGACTTCTCATGTAATGTATCCTTGGGTTCTATATACTTTATTTTTTCATCTCAAAACTCTGTTCTTGTTATTCTCTCCCTTGTTTCTTATCTGCTGAGGAAGGAGAAGAGTTTTTACACTTTCTGGAGGAGGTAGAAAAGATTTTGATTGATGGTATTTTTAAGGCTGCTTCTCATTCTCTGTTGTTCACATTGCTCTTCTTCGCATCTGCTTTCTCTGTAAGATTCATATTAATGGGTTAGCTTCATTATTGTTTAAGAAAATGGCTGCAGAATATGTGAAACCAGCAAAAAAAACCTTATATTACCATGAAAACATCAAAATTCTAGTTTAACCTCTAATATTAATGATTCATTTACCATATAGAAGACTAGTTAGATTCATGTTCAAATACTGAGTCAATCATAAAATTATATTTTGGGGGGGCTTGGGTAGATAACACATATCTATCTTTATCTCTCTCTCACACACTAACTCACTCTCTATTATTCTATCTCTAATTTTATGATTGAGTCTATCTCTCATTTCTATTTCTCTGTCTGTCTGTCTATATGGAGAGAGAGAGAGTAATTATTCTATCTATATTACTCTCTATCTCAGTGTATCATACTCCTTTTCTATACCCCTTGCACCCCAGAATGCTTCTGATATATTCTTGCACCCCTTACAAAAGTTTGAAATAATGAATTGTGCATGTACAGCATAATTTTGAAACTTCTAAAACCAGGTTTTCGCACCCCCTGGAATATTGTCTCGCACTCCCAGAGGGTGCAAGCACCCTTGGTTGGGAACCCTTGCTTTATCTCTATCTCTACCTATCTAGAGAGGTGTATTGTCTCCATGTAGCAAAAATCAATCACGTAACTGAGTTTCTTATTAAAATAATCAATCCCATGGATTACTACCCTTTCTTCTCCTACATATGGGGACCAATGACACAACAATGAATCTGAAAACAATAAGAAGAGATTACGAACAGCTTGGGAAGAAAATTAAAGAATTAGGAGCATAAGTGGTGTTTTCATCTATGCTCCCAACAAAAGGCCAACATCCAATGAGGGAGCAGAGTAATTTAGAAATGAACTACTGGCTTAAAACTAGTGTTGTCCACAGGACTTCAGCTTCCTAGACCATAGTTTGCATTTCTTACATGAAAGGCTACTGGCAAGGGATGGAGTAAACCTCACAAAAACTGGAAAGAATATATTTGGAAAACGGCTGGCTCATCTTTTCAAAAGGGCTTTAAACTAAAATTGAGGGGGGGGGTGACTTTTAGAAACTAATTTCATGCAAAAAGATAACCAATCACATAAAAAGGTAGGGAGTAAAGAGTAAAGACAAAGAAGAAATAAAAAAAGAAAAACATAATGAAGTTGAGAGTGATGGAAAGGATGTAAATCCCAGTTACAAAGTAGGAGATATAAGAAACATATCCAAGACCCATAAAGGACTGAAATGCCTATACACTAACACTCAAAAGTTTAGAAAACAAAAAAGGTGAACTTGAAGCATTAGTACACAAAGGCAGATATGACATAGTTGCCATTACTGAAACTTGGTGGGATGAAACTCATGATTGGAAAGATGGAAGGGTACAAACTGTTCCAAAAGAAACAGACCAAACAAAAGAGGAGGTGGTATTCCATTGTATAAAAAAGATCACTATATTTCTATAGAAATACACAAAACCAAGGATGAAAATCCATATGGGGCAATATAAAAGGGAAAAAATTACATTGCTATAGGCCACCCAACCAAACAGAAGAAATAGATAAATTCTTTACTAATCAGTTAACAAATGTATGTAGGAAACATACCACAGTAGTAATGGGAAACTTTAACTTCCCTGATATGAACTGGGAGACAAAATCTGCAGCAAGTGGGAGATCGAACAGATCTTAGCTGACAACTTTGTCATTCAAAAGGAGAGAACTAGAGGAAAAGCTATACTGGGCCTAATTCTTACTAATAGAGAAGAAGTGGTAGAGGGAGTTGAAATTGCCAGAACCTTGGGCGAGAGTGACCATGTCATATTTAAATTCAATATAATGCAAACACAAGCAATAGAATATAATCCAATTAAAGCAAGGGTGTGAAACTCACGTTACGTGATCTTTCGCAATGTATTGTGATTTCTTTGCCATTGCCAGCAGTGGGGTGGGTGCGGTTTCACTATGATGCATCCGGCCCGTGGGCCAGCAGCTTGACACCTCTGAATTAGAGTCTTAAACTTTAAAAGAGCTGATTTTAACAAACTCAGAGACAGCCTAAGAAAAGTAGCATGGATGAAAATCCAAAAGGGGAAAACAACTCAAGAAGCATGGGAAGCTCTGAAAAATATATCCATAAAAGCCCAATCCAACACAATATCACTGGGGGGAAAAAGAAATCCAAGAAGAAACCAGCATGGTTGCACAAAAGTCTTTCTGATAAAGTGAAAGACAAAAAAACCCATAAAAAATGGAAAGAGGGACACATAACGAGGGCAGAATATCAGCAGATAGCTCGAATCTGCAAAGGTGATGTCAGGAAAGCAAAAGCTCAGAATGAACAAAGACTTGCAACAAAAGTCAAAGATAATAAAAAAAGTTTCTTTCAACATATAAGTAACAAGGAAACAGTTGGTCAACTAAAGACAGGAAATGTCAAGGAAGTAACAGGCAGTAGAGAGAAAAGCCAGCTGCTTAACTCCATCTTTGCATCAGTCTTCATGCAAAATGAAATTATAGCCCAACCTATAATTGTAAGGCAGACTAGAAATAAAAACCAAAACAAGCAAGAAAATGGTAAGAGAATACATATCTGATCTTGATAAATATAAATCACTGGGACCTGATGGATTACATCCCAGAATTCTGAAGGAGCTGGCAGATATTATTTCAGAATCATTGTACCACATATTTAAAATATCCTGGAACACTGGGTAGTGCAAATGGGTGTGGAGCCTTCTTGGAACTGATGAACTCCCTCTCCGTTGAGCCCTCAAAATTGAACAGCCCTCTCTCAACAGAGAGGGAAGAATACCACCATCTATGTTCAGTCTACAACAGGGCTTTTTAACCGGTGGTACGCGTACCACTTGTGGTACATTAACGAGTGGCAAGTGGTACGCAGCCCTGCCTAGCCAAGTGTAGTGGGGGAGGGAAAGAGCCAGCGCAGGCAAGGACTTACTTTGAGAGAGTCCTCTGGAGCTGCAGAGTGGCTGGAGCGAGGTAAAGGCCCCAGGCTCACTTCTGGCTCACCCTCCCCCATAGAATGGAGGAGGGGAGCGGTTATAAAAGGAGGCAGTTTGGGCAGGAGAGGGACAGAAAAAAGCAGCAGCAGCAGCCTTGGGAGGAGATGGAGTCAGCTCTAGCTGCACCGAAGGGAAAGAAGAAGGAGGAGGAGGAGGAGGGTGGGGGAAGAGGAGATCAAGCAGGCCGGCCATGAGCCAATCTACAACTGCTATGGCAGCCACCTATGCTAGCAGCAGCAAAGAGGCAAGAAATGCAGTGGAAGAGGGGTTGCCCTCCAAGAGGAATGAAAAAAGGCAGCAATGGCTGGAGGTGAGACATGGAGGAGGGAGGGAAGGAGGGAGATGGAGAGTGGAAGGATTCTTATGTGCTTTTGTGACTTTGAAGTTCTGGGATTTGTGCAATGTGGGCTTTGTGTTCTTGAGGAGTGTTTGGCAATTTCTATTTGGCTGATGGCTGATATCTTGTGTTAGCTTTTATTGCTCTGCTATTGTTAGCTGTAAAATTTGCTGCAAGGGATTTTGAAGTATTTTTCTCCTGAATGGATTTTGCCTGTAGCATCCCTTTACTTATGAATGGAGCCATTTGGGGAGGCTGCCTTAGCAGGCAGCCAACACTTACTACATTTTTTTTCTTCCTTAAGTGCTGGCTGCACTGCTTAATTTTCCTTTCTAGCTAGTAGCTAATTCTTAAAGGGGAATGTGCCTTTTTAAGCTAGTTCATTCAGCAGTTTATCTTTTCTGTCTCTGGAGGCTTTTCCTTGTTTGATGAATATATGGAAGAGAGAAAATCTGGGGGAGTTTCAAATTCTTCCTTCAGAAGGAGGTGGGCATGAGAAAGAGGGAGGCAGGGAAGGAGGGAGGGAGGGAGGGAAGTCCCGCCTTGGCTACCAGCAGCCCTGCCATTGACTTTGCTTGTCAAAAGATTGCAAAAGGGGATCACATGACCCTGGGACACTGTGACCATCATAAATATAAATCAGTTGCCAAGCATCCAAATATAAATCATATGACCCTGAGCATGCTGCAATGGTCATATGTGTGAAAAATGGTCATTAAGTTCCAGGCAATATAGGAAGAACAAGTCAAGGAGACTATGCTAATTTGGAGTAGAGATTTTGGTTTCAATATCGACCTGCATATTTGGCAAGAACTGTGGGAAAGAATAGGAAACTCACTTTAGCTACCTCATACAAGGAAAATCTCTACAAGATGTTCTATAGACGGCATCTCCCACCTACAAGGCTAGCTAAAATGGGCTCAAATATCTCACCTTTATGCTGGAAATGTAAAATAGCAATTGGATCATATTATCATATGTGGTGGGAATGCCCAAAGGCTCATGAATATTGGAATATGATACGAAGTTGGCTGAAGGATATATTAATATTGGACTTAGAGTTAAAACCTGAACTATTCTTGTTGGGAATAACTACAGAAAAGTACAATAAGGGAACAATCTATTTGCTGTTACACATCTTGACGGCAGCTAGGCTTGCATTTGCGCAAAAATGGAAGAGCAAAGAAATTCCTACAGACGAAGAGCCATTATATAAAATATTAGCATGTGTGGAAATGGACAGGCTCACAATGGTATTGAAAGACAAATGTGGATCAGTTTATTTCGAAACCTAGGATAAATTTTACCGTTGGAGGGATTCGAGGAGAACGGTTGGGATTAAAGGTTAGCATTAAGATAGAAATATGTTATTTTAGAATAAGTACTATATATAAAACTTAGATGTATAATTAGAGATGAAGAATGGATTGTAAAATGGGAAACAACTTGGTAAGCATGTATATACTGGAATGTCACTTTACATCCAATGTTTTTTAATTATATTATAAATAAAATTTATTTAAAAAAAAAAGAAAAATGGTCATAAGTCATTTCAGTGCAATTGCAACTTTGAGCAGGTTTTTTTTTTTTTGTCATCAAGATTTTGACACCTTGATAGGTGGCACTCGAATACTGCCATATCCTAAAAGTGGTACAACTGGTGAAAAGTTTGAAAAGCCCTGGTCTACAATACAGTCATTTCAGCAGTTCCAAGAAGGCTCCACACCCATTTGCACTACCCAGATGACCCTGAGGACACAGATAAATCTCCAAGTGGCCTCAATGACTCTCTAAATGAATGCAAATGACCAGCGGTCTGCAAGGAATATAAATCCTTCCATTCCCCACCATCCAGTGAGAGCTGAAGAAGCTTCTTGGACCAGCAAAATGCCCTAAAAAACAAACAAACAAGAAAGTCCTGTTGCCTTTTGAACAAGCACCTTTGGGACTACAGACCAATCAGCAAAACATCAATACCTGGGAAGATACTGGATAAAAATAATCAAAAAACAGATCTGTGGATATCTAGAAACAAAGTTATAACTAGTAGCCAGCACAAGTTTGTTAAAAAAAGATCATGCCAAACCACTCTTATTTCATTCTTTGACAGAGTGACTAAATTAATAGACCAGCGAAATGTTGTGAACATAGCATATTTAGGCATTCAACAAAGTAGATCACAACCTACTTCCTGGTAAACGAGAAAACTGTGGGAAACCACAGGAATATCCTCAATGAAAACCTGTTTTACCTAAGACTGGGCTGATGATTCACTTTCCAACATTAGGAACAACTCTGTGAATCTCCCTGACTTGAACCCTATTGAATATCTCTGGAGGGACCTAGCAATGGCTGTCTATTGATGGTCGCCTAAGCTTGAAAGAATTTGCAAGGAAGAATGGCCGAAAGTCCCCCAGGTGTGTAAAGCTTGCCACGCCATATCCAAAAAAAACTTGACACTGTCATTGCTGCCAAAGGTGCTTCAACAAGACACTGAATGAAAAGTACGAATATTTATGTCAATGTGATATTTCAGTTTTAAAATAAATTTACAGACATTTCTAAAATTCTGTTTTCACTGTGTCCTCATGGGGGTACTGACTGTAGACTAATGAAAAAAAATGAATTTCAACAACTAGAATCAGGCTGCAGCATAACAAATTTGACAAAAGTGAAAACTTTCTGAATGCACTGCATATGTGTACCTATTGACACAGAAATCCACACCTAAGAATTAATTTATGCAAACAATTATGTGTATTTCAGTGTGCAAAATGCCCCCAAAGTGCATTTTGCCCATGAAACTCCTCGCTTGTCAAGACTACAACCTGTCAATAAAATCACAACGAATGAAGTGTTACGTAAAGGCTGAGGGAGATGGGCCGTTACAAAATATGAAATAGAAATAAATATATATTTTAAAAAAACCTCCCAAATCTCCCAGCAGAAAATCACAGGCAGCAGTTTTAAATCGTGCAGCCAGAAGAATAAAATTTAGGGAAGGAAGGAACGTGCAGCAGCAGCCGATATCTTTCAGCCTCGTCCCTTTGCTGTTCCCAGACCGTGGAGGAAACCAAACAGCCCGACTTGCTCCCGGCTTCTCCTCCGACCTGCCCTCCACTCACCTCCCAGGAGCCGCTTCGACCCTCGAAACAGGGGAAGAGACTCCACCGACGCCATCTTCCTCCCGTGGCTGAGCCGGAAAAGGAAATTCCTTTGTTCTCCGCCTCCTCTCCTCCACATCCTCTCTAGTAATACAATCCTCTATCGTTTCAGTTCGTTCCAGCTCAGCCTTTCTCCCTCCGGTACGAAATTAGCACTAACGATGCCCCTGCTGTATTCTCGGCTTTCTAGGCACGCGTGTTCCCGGTTTGTAGACCGCCATCTAGCGACATAAGGCTGAAAATCACGCTCGTCCTATCTCTACCCTCAAGCGTTGGCAAGATGTTTTTATTGATTCCAAGAAGTCGTATTCCTCTCTCACCGAACACATCGATAGGTTTTCTCCCTGAGGATCTCTCCCAAACCTTTTCTTTCAGGTCTCCCAAGAGTGCAGTCATTGTCCCTCTTGCTGCAACTAAACCAAAGGAAAGTAGAAATCATGTAAGAGAGAAATGATGGACAACAGCCAACCAGAAGGCGCATTTTCCTTTGGGGCTGGTGACGATGGTTCCAGCCAGTTTTTCATTTCCTTGGGGGGTGCAAGATAACTCCTCGAAACCTGCCTCGGCAAATGATTGAAGCTGTAAGAGTGAAGCTTCACCCTACTTGGCTTCATAAGATTAGCAGGTGCTGCGCCCTAAAACTTCCTGAAGTATTTCTGTCTGCGTCCATATAAACTTGTCAGCTTCATCCTATTCAGGGGTCTTCAAACTTGGCCCTTTTATGACTTGTGGACTTCAACTCCCAGAATTCCTCAGCCAGGCGTGCTGGGAGTTGAAATCCTCAAGTCATAAAAGGGCCAAGTTTGAAGACCCCTGATCCTATTAATGCCTCTGAACCCCATCTAGATAGGAGGTAGATGGAAACCAGTTTGCAGGAAGCTGGTCCAAAGATTTCTGCCTTTTTTTTTGCAAGAGTGGTTTTAGGGGAGATCGAAAGCTCTCTAAATCCTACAATTTTATGAATCTTCTTGTGGCTCTAGTGAAGGATGGTGGTGGCGGCCTTATGCTTTGAGGCTGCTTTTCTTCACCTGGAACTGGAGCATTAGTCAAGGTGGAGGAAATTACGAACTATTCTAAATATCATTCAATTTGGGCACAAAACCTTCAAGCCTCTGCCAGAATACTGAAGATGAAGAATAATTTCACCATTCAATGAGCCAGAGCATACTTCCATATCAATAAAACAATGGCCTCACCAGAGGAAGATTTAAGGTTTGGAATGGCCCAGCTAGAGGCGGGACTTGAATCCAATTGAAAATCTTGGAGTGACCCTCACAACCTGACAGATTTGGAGCAATTTGCTAGGAAGAGTGGGCAAACATTCCCAAGGCAAGAATGTGCCAGGCTCCTATCTCAAAAGCCTGCATGCTGTGATAAAAGAATTAATTTAAGGGTGCGCATCTTTATGAAACCATGCTATTGTAAGTTTATTATTGTTATTTTCCCTCATAAAATATTTGTTTTTCAATTGAACTGCACAACTTTTAAGTTATATTAAAGGTGAAAAAATTCTGAGGTGATTTGTCTTGGTCTTATTTACTTACATCCCAAAAAGTGTGGAGATGTTCTCTATGCCCTGTATATCTGGGGATAAGATGATATATTGCAGATGCAAATTTGTGTAGAGAGAGAAATTTACATGCCTACGAATGTAAATTTGTAAAATATCCATGTGTATTTTAGCCTGAAAAAATGTCCCAAAATTGTTATTGTCAAACCTTCTGAGTTAATTTTAGAGATGTTGGGGGCTTTAACTGATGAAATGATACATAAAGTCTCTGCAAGATTGAAGCACCAGTTTTGCCGTGGAAGCCCTCAGCTCCAAATAAGGGCAGAAAATAATATCGACAATCCTTCTGGTGACATTTCCATTCAATGTAGGTGTTGGTCATCACCTTTAAAAGCAATTTATTTGAGCAATAGCTATTAGGCTTATATACCACACTTCAGACCTTTAAAGCACTTTCGGTTTACAGTGTCAGCAAATGGTCACATGATTAAAATTTGGATGCTTGGCAAGAGGGGGGATTTGCATATGGGTCACTCATGCCTTTGTCACCACCTATTTGGATCACTTCACTGGGCCACCCAGAACCTTCAACTGTTCCAGAATGCAGCAGCACAGACACCAATGAAGGCCCCTGGGTTGGCCATTTAAAATCTCTGTGGTGTGAGATGCAATGGATTCATTTCTTTAAGGTGCAATTCAACATGCTGGTCATCACCTTTAAAGCTACTTCTTTATTATAGCAATAGCACTTAGAATCATATACCACCCCAAAGTGTTTTATAGCCCTCTTGGTTTACAGAGTCACCATATTGTTCCCAACAATCTGGGCTCTCATTTTACTGAACTCAGAAGGATGGAAGGCTGAGTCAACCGTGAACCCCTTTAGGATTGAATTCCAGGCTATAGGCAGAGTCAACTGGCAATACTGCCTTCTAACCACTGAAACCCCAGGGCACCTGTCATTATTGCCCCATCTTTATTATTTTTGTATCTACAGTGGGGCCAAAAATGTATTTAGTCAGCCACCAATTGTGCAAGTTCTCCCACTTAAAAAGATGAGAGAGGCCTGTAATTGTCATTATAGGTAGACCTCAACTATGAGAGACAAAATGAGCAAACAAATCCAGACAATAACATTGTCTGATTTGGAAAGAATTTATTTGCAAATTATGGTGGAAAATAAGTATTTGGTCACCTACAAACAAGCAAGATTTCTAGCTCTCACAGACCTGTAACCTCTTCTTTAAGAGGCTCCTCTGTCCTCCACTCACTACCTGTATTAATGGCACCTGTTTGAACTTGTTATCAGTATAAAAGACACCTGTCCACAACCTCAACAGTCACACTCCAAATTCCACTATGGTGAAGACCAAAGAGCTGTCGAAGGACACCAGAAACAAAATTGTAGACCTGTACCAGGCTGGGAAGACTGAATCTGCAATAGGCAAGCAGCTTGGTGTGAGGAAATCAACTGTGGGAGCAATAATTAGAAAATGGAAGACATACAAGACCACTGATAATCTCCCTCGATCTGGGGCCCCACGCAAGATCTCACCCCCTGGGGTCAACATGATCACAAGAACGGTGAGCAAAAATCCCAGAACCACATGGGGGGACCTGGTGAATGACCTGCAGAGAGCTGGGACCAACATAACAAAGGCAACCATCAGTAACACACTACGCCGCCAGGGACTCAGATCCTGCAGTGCCAGACGTGTCCCCCTGCTTAAGCCAGTACATGTCCAGGCCCGTCTGAAGTTTGCTAGAGAGCATTTGGATGATCCAGAAGAGGATTGGAAGAATGTCCAGAAGAGGATTGGTCAGATAAAACCAAAGTAGAACTGTTTGGTAGAAACACAACTCTTCGTGTTTGGAGGAGAGAGTGTGCTGAGTTTCATCCAAAGAACACCATACCTACTGTGAAGCATGGGGGTGGCAACATCATACTTTGGGGCTGTTTCTCTGCAAAGGGACCAGGACGACTGATCTGTGTACAGGAAAGAATGAATGGGGCCATGTATCGTGAGATTTTGAGTGCAAACCTCCTTCCATCAGCAAGGGCATTGAAGATGAAACGTGGCTGGGTCTTTCAGCATGACAATGATCCCAAACACACCACCCGGGCAATGAAGGAGTGACTTCGTAAGAAGCATTTCATGGTCCTAGAGTGGCTTAGCCAGTCTCCAGATCTCAACCCCATAGAAAACCTTTGGAGGGAGTTGAAAGTCTATGTTGCCCAGCGACAGCCCCAAAACATCACTGCTCTAGAGGAGATCTGCATGGAGGAATGGGCCAACATACCAGCAACAGTGTGTGCCAACCTTGTGAAGACTTACAGAAAATGTTTGACCTCTATCATTGCCAACAAAGGGTATATAACAAAGTACTCAGATGAACTTTTGATATTGACCACATACTTATTTTCCACCATAATTTGCAATTAAATTCTTTCCAAATCAGACAATTAGATTTTCTGGATTTGTTTGCTCATTTTGTCTCTCATAGTTGAGGTCTACCTATGATGACAATTACAGGCCTCTCTCATCTTTTTAAGTGGGAGAACATGCACAATTGGTGACTGACTAAATACTTTTTTGCCCCACTGTATCTGTTCTACCAGGTCAGATAGGGTGGGCACGCTCCTAGCCCCTTTTTTTAAATATTGCCATTGAATAAGAGCTGGGAACCCTAAGCCAGTGATGGCCAACCTTTTAGAGACCTAGTGCCCAAAAACCACCCCGCCTCCTCATCCACCCCTGCTCTGGACCCAGCCCACCCGCATGGCCACCCACCGGCTCCATAGCCCACCACAGCAGATTGTCCAGGTAGCCCAGCAGCGCCATGGTGGCCATGCCCTCTGCCCATGCCCCGCAGCATCATCTGTGTCTGACAGGGCGCAAGGGCAGAGTCTTGTCCTCGCTACCTGGCTGCCAGGCCCTTGGCTGTGCTTCTCTCCGTGCACTGCGCTCGGGGGCAAGTCTCCTCCAGGGAGCTGCTGGTGAGGAGGGGGCCATGGGGGAGGCGGGGCTGGGGCAATGGTGCACGTGCCCAAAGAGAGGGCTCCGAGTGCCACCTCTAGCATGCGTGCCACAGGTTCGCCACCACTGCCCTAAGCATTGGGATAAGAAGAGGTGCCTGCACATCAGAAGCTTGAATTGGAACCAGGTTTTTCTTTAATGCATTTGGGTTTAATATGTTTTTTAAGTTATTCATTCGGACCCAGCCAGTTTGTTAATATGGGTGGTTACATAAATATTTTAAATAAATTGGAGGAAAATGAAATGAATCCAAAATGTGGCCCCGCTGAGGCTGCCCATCTGCAACTCGCTTGAGGCAACAAAGCCTTTGCATTTCTTTAATTATCAAATTTATAGACTGCTAATTCTGAGGTTAACTTCTCCAATTTAACTCCTTGCAAGGAGAAAGTTTTCCAGTTTGGACCAAGAATGTCATGAGGCATGAATGTAGCTACTAAGACCCAGGAGGCCTGATTAACTTGAACAAAATTTGAAGAAAAGCAAGAATTACCTTTTTCAGATGCCCAGACATCAAAATTCCATCAACCATGCTAGAAGAGGCCTGTATTTGCAGCTTAAGTACATGTTAAATGTGGAAGCTTTGCATTTCGCTGTTTGCAAGATAGTCGGTTTATTGCTTTCTGTATTAAGGTTTTATTGCTGTAAACCGTGTGAAATCACCTTGAGTTGGACTGCTATATATATTTAATAAATAAAAATGCATAAAAATATTTATATCCCGCTTTATTA